TAATTATAGAAACCATAGAAATAAAAGCATCAAATGAATTTAGAATTTTATTAACTAAAGCATACGAAATAGTTTAAAGAAAAAAGTAACAAGCAAGCATAAAATTAATCAATAAAAAACTTTGGACTAATATTAAACGAAACAATCATACATCAAATCTAATCATAAAATTGAGGACTAATATTAAACGAAACAATCATGCATCAAATCTAATCATAAAATTGAGGACTAATATTAAACGAAACAATCATACATCAAATCTAATCATAAAATTGAGGACTAATACTTTTAGCCCAATTAACAACTTCCTTGCAATAATCTCCCCATAATTCCACAATTTCGAGCATTGGAAAATCAGCATTGATTAAAAGATTTGCCTTATCAACAGTCAATCCCTTACATAATAAGATTTTCAACTCAACCAAACCTTTACATTGAACGATTTCTTGAATAAGATTATTCTTCTTAAAATTACAATGACGAATCACGATTGTAGTCAAAGAATGAATATGATTAGCGATTGACGGTAGATTCTCTTCTTGTTGTTGTCCTCGATAATACACTTTAAGCTTAAATGTACGGAGATCTTTGAATTTAGAGAGAACATCTGTAATAGTTTTTGCATCGGAATCTCGGATAGTTTTCAATCGAAATTTCAGATGTTTCTATAAAATTATAAATTTAATCATTAATAATAATTAATAATAATTAATGCGGTAATAATTATAATGATGTAATAAGTGATTATGCAATTTATAAAGTAATAAGTGATTATGCAATATATAAAGTATATAAAGTAATATGACAAAATTTTATACGTACCACATTAGGACAAAAATCCGGAATCCATGAGAATACTTTATATAATGAGCCATAATCAGTACAGAAGCTTAGTTTCTTGATAGGTTCCAAGAAATCACCATCCAAAGCATGACCGAATTGGTTATAATCATCTGCCTCAAGGATGTGACCTAAACCGAAATGATCAGAGATAGTAAAATAATTCACACGTTTAGATCGATTAAAAATAAGATTCAACACATGAGTATGAAGAACGCCTTCCAGTGGAGGTTTATCATTGAAATAAAGGAACTGAGTCTTTGAATCAGGTGAAGTATAAACTACGTTAACTTCTTCAAGATTATTCAACATTCTTGCCGCTTCTTTAATAGAACTGACGAACATCCAGTAATTAAAGTGTTTCAAAAATTTAACATATTCAAAAGTTGGTGTTTTGAAATGTGATTTTTTATCGGCTGGAATTTTTGACAAAATCTTTTGTTTTGCACTTTTTTCAAGACTACCCAAGTAAATAAAAATAACTTCGGGAAAATTTTCTTTATGATCGTTAACGTGACGGAAAGGATCAGACCAAAGTACTGGAACGGCTGCTTGACACCATAATCTGTTAACTTGAAGGCAGGCGTGTAAAGACTTTTTGTCTTTTGATAGAAATTCAATAACTAATGGTAAAATATGACAGTGCATGATCGGTGTATATCCGGATAAGGATGAAAAAATTAAACTTATGATTTTGTAACGACTTTTATATCACAGGAAACACGTGGATTGACCAATCAATTTTTTTAATCGCGATTTGTAGCTAGATCAAACGTTAATATTAATATTAATAATATTAACGCGAATAACACAATGAAATAGCCAATCAGAATATCCCGGATCAGCCCGAACATAGTATATGCTGCGTATTCGAGCTGCGAATACAGTAGGAAGATTGCAGAGTTTTTTTTTTTAAAAAAAAAATTATACGATACTATGCTCTAAACTTTGAGTGAGTACAAAGTTCAATGGTATTTTAAAGTTGTAGCAGAGTTTTATTCTAAATCTAAAATTTTCATGGAATCTTTTTTTTTTAAACATACAAATAATTACGGACCTTTTAAAAAAAAGCACATATGAGCTTATTAATTGTTTTAAATTTAGAGTATAAAATCTATTTTGTTAATATTTTAACAACTAAAACGGAATGTTTAACTGAAAAATACTATAATGTTCAGTCTAAACTTATCCAACTTTCACCAAAAGTTCTAATAAAATAATTATTATAATCAACAGTCCTGATCCCACTAATAGCCTTTACCAAGCAACCAAAAACACACGATATTACTTTAATAGAAAAAAATGATCAATCTTTTGATGAATTTTTTATCGCTGATTCATTAAAGATTATATTTGCTACTAAACTGGTTACTAATTTAGAATGAAATGTTTACAAGAAAATTTATAAGCTGAAAGTGATCATAATTGGAAATTATTATTAGCTATGATATCGATGATATTAGATCTTCAAAGAGGAAATTTATTTGGTTTACACTCGTGGTAGTGAATTCAATGCTACCTTTAAATTTAATATAAGCGGTAAACTTCAATTAATAGCAAAATCCCCGAAATAAAAAGCAGATATTAATAAAATTCTCTTTCATTCCAAAACAGAAAAAGCCTAATGCATATTCGACCTTAAAGATGCATAGTATCATATTGATGAAAAAATTCTTATAACTTGGATGTTTTAAGAAAATTTAATGAAAAAGAACTCGACATACTTTTTCAATCATTGGATAATTTAATTTGAAATGTACCTTTCAAAGTGGCAAACAACCTCTAAAGTATTATCTTTACAATCGAAATGATCAATCAATTCATTATCTGTTTGCTACTCAACCAGAATTTAAAAAAATTCATTATGTTAGGTTTTTTTCTTTAGTAATTAAATCAAGAGACAATCTAGATTTAATTTTTACCGGCTAGAAAATATAATCCTTAACAAATATATGCCAAAAAATCTTTTGCCATTAATTTTATATGTTCATGGTAGTCCTTTGAGTCACGACTATATACTTTAAAGCTGATTCTGCAAATCGTGGTTATGCTGTATTAATTGTAAACTATAATTCTTCTAGTGAACTTGGTAAATTCTTAATTTGTGCTAATATCGATCAGGATTATATAGTTATTTTGTAAAGTCCAGTAGATATATTGAGTACAATAATATGGGTAAAGGTAGAAATTTTTCTCTCAGTAACATTCAATAAGTTAGCTAAATAAGATAATATTTTATTTTTAGTAAACTGAGTAATGTATTGAAGTTTTTAGAGTAATACCAAAAGGAAATATATTATACATATTGGATGATCAAACGGCAATAATTTTCGTTATAACTATATAGATATTGAAAAAATATTCTACATCATATATTAATTTAATCGTCTGTCCACTTTTTGTCAATTTCAAGTATTCATGATTTTGGTCAATCCACTTTTAAGTTACTATACCAATTTGCTATTATAAATTTATAGTCACTTTAAAAATAATTATAGATTTTAGGCTTGAATAAATTCAGTTACTTTAAAATTTAGTATAATTAGTTAAAGTTAACTTTAAAATTTGCTATGCAATAGTTTTTAATCGTAAATTTGTTAGTTTTAGAGATTTTTAATTAGAATTTTATATATTAAAAATCATACAATTTACTATCAATCAAATGATCAATACATAAAATTTATCAATAAATTATATAAATTATCCATTAAATTACTATTTAATGATTCTCTTAAATGAATTTATCTTTTATTCATTTATAATTATAAAAGATACAAATAATCATAGTAATGATAATTTTACCAATATTTCTGAAACTAATCATAAAAGTAATTATGAAAGTAATTATGAAAGTAATTATAAAAATGAGGAAAGAGAAATTCCAGTTATTGACTTGGATAATCTAGTTTCTTATTCACCTTTTGATAATTCTGAAGTTATTAATACCCAATTGGTAAATTTATTTATTATTTTCAAAATTTATAATAAAATATAATTACTAATATTTTTCTATTAAAAGCAAACTAGCGAATCAAGATAAAGATAATTTAGAATTAGTTAATTTAATTACTAAAAATTTAAGAGTTGGAAAAATACAATATTCTGCTTTCTGATAGAGCATCCACCTATCTCAAAAGAAAAAATTATAATTGTATTTAATATTGAATCTTGGGAGTCATATAATGTTATTTTTAATAATATAATTTTTAAATTTAATATATTAAGTTTAAATTTTTAAATTTAATATATTAAGTTTAAAATTTTAAATTTAATATATTAAGTTTAGATAGTTACTTTAAATTACTAGTAGTAATTATTATCAGTTATACAAAATAGATATAAAAAAATAAGTAATTTAATTTTTTTATTTTTTTTGCTTTTATTATTATTTTTTATTATCAATATTAATACTCATATTTATTCTCTTTTTAATTAATAGTATCATCTAATTCAATACTTCTTTATTTGTTGTGTTTTTTCTTTTTATCATTTGGTATATTCTGTTTAGTAAACTGGTGTTTTGTTTTGTTGATATTGTCTAATTGTTGCTTCACTCTGTTTGATATTTCACTCTGTTTGATACTTCACTCTGTTTGATACTTTTTCACTACTTGGTATCTTTTCTTGTATCATTAGTATTATCTAGTTGGTGCTTCTTTTACTATTGATCTTGCTTTGTTAGTATAATATCTAGTATAAAATAGTAATAAGTAAACTAATTAAATAGACAATTAAAAGTTGTATATGTGGCTAGTATATACTTTTCAAATATATATTTGATATATCATAAATGTATACTATAAAGCTAACTTTAATCAAATAAAAGAAGATAGCCAAAAGGTTATCTTAATACTAAAAAAGTTGTACAAAAAGTAATAATATAATAATCAAGCAACTAAAAGTTTATTTATAAAATGCAGCTAATAGATTATAAAAATAGTAGTAAAAAGTATTTTTTCAAAAATTAAATAATGATATTAATTTTTTTTGATATTAAGGTGACCTCTTGGCTGTCTATTTTTATTTAGTTATTAATTAACTTTACTATAATAATAATATTAATATAAATTTATTAAAACAATTAATATAACAAATTAAAATAAAATTAGATTAAAATGAATTTTTTTATTTTTTAAGTAAAATTTAAAATTTTTTATAAAATATTTTTAGGATTTTTAGTATTAAAGATAGATTTTAAGATTTTTTTTTTTAAATATTAATGGTGAAACCATATTTGTAAATTAGTAATTATATAATTTAAATTATTTAATATTTAATTCATAAAGAATATCATAATACAATTTTTGCACTTGCTATTATAAGTAGTAGGAGTTAAGAAGACTTAGGTAGAAAGAAATAGAACAAATAGAGAAAATATAGTATTATTAGAAGATTAAATTGAAGAATGATAAATACAATAAGGTATTCAGATGTTATGATAAATTTGTGAATTAAGATATAAAAGAAATTTAATAGTAATAGTTGATGCTAATATAGCAGATAAAATAATATTTTTAAGTAGATTTATAAAATCAAAAGGAACTTAGATTTATAAAATCAAGAGGAACTAGCCTAAACAAAGTAGAGTTAATAGATAGAGTACATTGATTGTAATAAAATGTCATACTATTAAGATGTTTAATTTGATTATAAATTGTAATAATTAATTCAGGTAAGACATTCAATGATGCTAAGTTAATAACCTGTTATAAAGAGTTATCAATAAGATTATGCAATAGTGCAGATGATAAGCAGATAACCCAATATAGTGATATACCAATTTGATTATATTGATAATAGTTGGGTTAAATATGATGATTGCATTTATACAATATATGAGGAGTAGATAATTCATCAAGAAGAATTTTAATTCAAAATAATTTAAGAGTAGAAGATTGAAAACTATGTAAGAAATTTGAAATTTTTTGATTGTTATTACTATAATGCCAAGTAGCAAACTAGTTAATATGAGTAGCGATTCAAAATCACTGTTAAAATCTGTACTGAAATAACCACAAAATATAGATATATAAATAATATATAGTACAGATAATATGTCAAGTTGGTAACTCTAGAGCAGTGTTGTCATTTTTGATGTCTGGGCCTTTTGAGTGTCCAGCAAACTGTCCAACTTTTTATCAGACTTAGTGTTTGTAGTCGATTTTGCATTAGTCGATTTTATCGGCTTAGCCAGCTTAGTCAGCCGATTTTTCAAAAAATTGACTTAGTCAATTTATGTTAGACAATATTGAAAATTACAGTAACCAATCAAATTTAGCCCGATTTGGTAGTTTACATTATCCTTCCCAAAAATTCCAAAAAGAAATTCAATGAACATAAAATACAAGAATACTATCCGATAATTTTCAAAAGTTTAAGATAAGATGATTGACTTCGACTTAGCTTGCAAAGCCGAGTTTTAAATATCACTTAATCAAGTCGATAAATAATGATCGACTTCAAACTGGTACGTATGTACTGTACGTATGTATACAATAGATTCAATAAGGTTGACCAATCATATCTATTTTAAATCACATGCTTTAATTAACCAATTAGGATGATTGACTACAACTTAGCTGGCTAAGCCGATTTTTAAATATTAACTTAGTCTAGTCGATAAATTTGGATCAACTACAAATACTAAT